AAATTTATTCTTGTTTTTCTCGTTGCCATGTTCCCACCAATAACGTAGCTCCATTTTCTGCCTTTAAAAGCACACACAACCCGCAATTCCTCTATTCGCTCCGACGAAGGGCTAACGCTCGAAACGTCAGCTTTTGTAATCGTTACGGTGGCCAATTTACCATTTCAACTTTGTTGATATATCCGCACTATCACAGTGATCTGTCGTGCTCAGGCACAACCCCAAAAGGTTCGCCTAATCGAAGAGAATCTATGTTTAGCAGTTATCTGACTTGCCAACAAATGCGTCTGGAATTTATAAACGGAATGAGTAAACAAGCATAGTAACTCTATATAATAATTAGTTACACTAAACAGTTAATGATTGAGCTTCTAGAAAATTCAAATGGAATGATGAGCAGGTAAAACTGTCAGGGTATTAGAGACAGGTCAAATTTACCGCCTTTGAAGCTTCCCTCTTCGCCATAAAATGTTAAAATTAATTAGGCAAGGTGGTCTACTAAATTCATTGTTAAGTTGTATAATTTGTCACTTGATTGATTTATTACCAACAGAAAAAGTCGCATGGTTATTCAGAAGTTTGTGCCTTGGTTATACACTCTTGGGTATTCATCCGAAACTTGCGCATAATCGGCCTTTGAAAATATTTCGTTTATGTTCAGCACTATTCATTACAGATCGGTCTGAAGAAAATATGCTGCAAAGGAGCATAGAAAATAGCTTCTTCAGTGGTAGAAAGATTAGTTTTTTCATTCTACAATATCGAAATAAACTACACCCTGACAGAGTGCGAATAGATATATCAGTCTATATCTTATCTCGTTATCCATTTTGATGGTATTTTCGAGCTTTCACTTATCACATCGACATCAATCGGTCTCATTATAGCTAAATTCTGAGCGATTTGGAATTAACCCGAAATAAACCCGATCTACAGCAATAACAAGCTGCCTTCTGCAAGACATATTGTACGGTGCAGTATTAATGCATACTAATCAACTTCACTGACGAACATAATCCAAATATCGTCTATTGATCTATTTGACACGAATTGAGCCAACAAGAGATATTAAAACTCACCTAAGTTTTGGTAGGAAATTTTTAATCCGCCAACTATTTCCTTTTGAGTATCACTGAAAGCACGAGCCAGATGCTAGCTTTCCTTTGTTCATATACAGTGCTCCTCGGAGAAATGTCATAAATGGCACTAAAAATAAAGCATGTGTATTTTGACTGCCACGGATGAGAGGTTTTTTTAATTAATCAGTATTTGCCCTAGGGCATCTTAGCCGTCACATCTTGCATAGGCAAGTAACGCTGTTGCCCATTAAAGAAAGAGTTGAATAGGGAGAGACTGACCTGAGATTTTTAATGGACCCTTTTAAAAAATGATCAAAAAAATACCTTTTTTGATCATTTCGTCATTTGAATTCATCATAGGTTAGGTTAAACATTTATTTTTTTTTTCAGCTCTGTATTAGCGAATTCATATGATATGACCAGAAATGAAAAGATGGATCATTTCTTGAGCAATATGAAACCCTGCATGGTAATTAAAGGCCTTTTGTTACTCGACCCGGGCAGTCAGAGGGCCAATAACTAAAATTAACCAATCAAAATGCTCTATTGCCGGTAAATATTCTCTCAGTATTAGACCGGGCACTGTCCCGAATGGTCC